ATTTTGGGAGAGAAGGGCGCTCACATCAAGATCATCTCTAAAGTGGAGAACCATCAGGGGGTGCTCAATTTTGACGAAATTCTGAAGGAGTCAGACGGAATCATGGTCGCACGAGGAGATCTTGGTATCGAGATTCCTGCACCTCAGGTCTTTATGGCTCAGAAGATGATGATCGCCAAGTGCAACATTGCCGGCAAGCCCGTCATCTGCGCCACGCAAATGCTCGAGAGCATGATCGTCAACAATCGACCCACACGAGCAGAGGTGTCTGACGTAGCCAATGCTGTCTTGGATGGCGCCGACTGCGTCATGCTCAGCGGAGAGACGGCCAAAGGTGCCTATCCGATCGAAGCAGTCACGATGATGGCCGAGACAAGCTTCTTGGCGGAGCAGTCCATCTCCTACGTGCCTCTCTTCAATGAGATGAGGTCGCTTACTCAGGTTCCTACCGATACGTCCGAGACTGTCGCAATGGCAGCTGTCAGTGCAAGTCTTGAGCAGCAAGCAGGTGCTATCTTGTTGATGTCCACCAGCGGAAACACGGCTCGTTTGGTGTCCAAATACCGCCCGCGTTGCCCAATCCTCGTCAGTGAGTAACTGCCCAGCGATTCGCTCAAATCTCCACACGCGCCTTGATTCGTTTGCTCACGTGCTCTCCGCCTGCAGTCACTCGTGACGAACACACAGCGCGCGATGTGCACTTGTACAGAGGCTGCTATCCTTTCCTGTACCCTTATCTCCGGCCAAGGGACGACTCCAAGTGGCAGGAAGATGTGGACAACCGTATCAAGTACGGTCTTGCAGAGGCCCTCAAGCTGGGTATCGTCGAGAAGGGCGACGTCGTTGTGGCTCTCCAAGGCTGGCGCGGAGGTTCTAGCCACACCAACTCCATGCGCATTTTGGCTGTGCCAGGTGAGTGCATAGGCGATCAGATCGCGGTCTTTTACACTCTTTGATGCTCTCACCTTTTGACGTCTGTCTCACTGCTCTGCTTGCTGCTCGCGATAGATGCTGCAAGGGAATTTGTCCTCGAAGGCACGGGCAGGCCAGCTGTCCCCGAGACGTGGGCCCGCAACTAAATGCGATGATAGAACTCAGCCTTGCCTCAGCGCTCCAAACGGCGACTTTTAGATAGAGAGGTAATCCGGGAGCGACTTTCTTGTCCCTTCACACACACACACACGCGCGCGTCTCAAAAAATGCAGCAATTGTCATGACGTTTTCCAGCGTTGCGATTGGGCAGGACTGCTGCGTGCAGTGAAGATACACTT